ATATTAAAATTTTTCTTCATTACCCATTCAAGCCGTGTCCAACCAAAATTAGAAGTTTGTAGAAACGTTGTAAATTTGCTGTTATGTTAAACTTATATTAAAGTTTTTCTTCATTACCCGTTCAAGCCGTTTCCAACCAAAATTAGAAGTTTGTCGTAAACGTTGTACAATGCTGTTATGTTAAACTTATATTAAAGTTTTTCTTCATTACCCGTTCAAGCCGTGTCCAACCAAAATTAGAAGTTTGTTGGTAATGTTTTAGACATTCATTCACAGTTCCTCGCTAGGTGGAAATGTAGTTGTTTGGGCAACACATTTTCCTGTAATGGTAATAGTGCTAAATGAAATGCATAAATATTGTTCGAAAATCAAAAGTAAAACTTTAATTTCGACATCTGTTAGTCATCACTCTTGTTAAGAAATAAAACCAACTCAGGATTTTAAGCGGTTTCCGAGAATGCCATATGGCGCTACGATTTTCGTAGTCGATGTTTATTTGATAAACCATTTCGAGAGATGACGGGATCATTCCACAATAGAAGGGTGTCACACACCCCAGAAATATGATTTTGTTGAATAATAAAACATCGATTCTGTGTTTATTTTTTTGACAACACCACCAAGATAAAAACTCAAACTCTACATAAAGGGCTACTGTATACTTACAAAATAAATATAAGAACATCGAACATTCAATCGCTTATTTATTAAAAGATAACGAACACTACAACATTATTATTCATCATTTAGCCGTTTTTACAACAAGCATGTAAGAAAGGAGTCTTTGAGCTCATTATTATTGGATATGTTAACTAAATGTACAGCAGTTTTGTTAGGTTATCGTCAGTCAATGCTATAATATATATTTGCAACTGAGCTTGTGGTAATTTATTTTTTAATGTCATTTACAGTGAACTTCTAAAAGTGTAACATAATATTTCTGTCAGAACCTCCTAATATTTAAGTTATATTTTCTCCTACAAGTTTCGGAATGTTAAAAGTTATTTAAGTAAATAAACGTGTAAATGTATTTATTTTTTACTAATTACTTAAAACAGATGAGTTGAATGTTGTAATAACTTTGTTTAGGTTTGATATATTTGCTTTAGTTTCTTCAGAAGTTACCCGAAGGCGGCCTACGAGTTAACGTATTGGTCTAGGAACTCGAGACGTGATGCTACAAACACGCTTCTCTCTTTTAGCAGTTGCTGCTTTATAAAAGTAGTAGTCAATCTCTTATTCGGTTAATGGTAGCCGCTTCAAGCAACGGGTGCTGTTAATTGTTTGTCTCCCCCCTGGTTCACAGTTCAAAATTAGGAACGGCTGTACCTGAACTATAGGGGTCTCTGACCTGGACATTTAGCCCATTGAGTGCACGGTGTTAAATAGACACGGCTATACCTGAACCATAGGGGTCTCTGACCTGGACATTTAGCACATTGAGTGCACGTTGTTAAATAGACACGGCTATACCTGAACCATAGGGGTCTCTGACCTGGACATTTAGCCCAATGAGTGCACGATGTTAATTAGACACGGCTGTACCTGATCAATAGGGGTCTCTGACCTGGACATTTAGCCCAATGAGTGAATATGGTGTTGTTCACTTGAAGAAATACAGACCTTTAAATATTTTTGGAAATGTGATACGAAAAATGATTTATTTATGTCTTCTTTTCTCGAAGAGGATTCCAGTTTATTTCTTACCTGGTTAACTTAATTCTTCCGAACGTTCTAATACCCAGGTTACACTGGTCAGTTTGCTTTTCTCTGGTTAACTTAATCCTTCCGAACGTTCTAATACCCAGGTTACATTAGCTGTAAAACTCGGGTTACACTGGTCAGTTTGCTTACAAGTCAGTTTTTCCTACATCCACAAAACTTAAATTTTGATAAAGATCGGCCCCTAACTTATCATCAACTATCACGAACAGAGACTGTTATGGTGTGAACTAGTAAGTGAATTGTAATAATTATTAATTCTGTTTACCTCATTTACAAGTGAGACGTTTGTTTGAAACAACTGATGGTTAAAAAGTTAAAAAGTTTATAATGCATTTCACATATTTTGTTAACATAGTTTTACGGCCGTTCCATGGAGACATTCAATATAAATTTATGTAACTAACAGAACATATTCATAGTTTTTATCAACGTCGTGAAATATTGTAATACAAATGTTTATAGTAAGAAACTAGTGTTTTACTTTTTATCTTCAAAACCCAACCTATTGTACATTACAATTGTAACTTTATTTCAGATCTTTTTATTACCACTGTGCCTACAATGCACTAAATTATGTCCCAGAACGTATCAATATAAACGTTATACTTGTGATTAGCTACAGTTGCATTACATTTTTTTAACTAGCTGGTTTTCGAAGACGTCCTAGCTGAGCCTGATGCTACTCACGGGTTTGACGGTGTGTGGCGTGTAGCGAACCTCACGTTTTTTTACACAAGGCATTGGCTTTACCGTGTCCTATCAGCATTGGTGGCGCTCCCTTGTGGACTGATCTGGGGTATACTATTTGCTCTTCTCAGTTTGATTAATATTTGGCTGATCACACCCGTCCTTCGAACTTTGGAAGTTTTCTTAGCGATCGTAAAAAGGGTAAGTGTTTGAACATTCACGAATTCTAAGGTGTAAGTTATTCACGAATTCTAAGGTGTAAGTTTTTATTAATTCTAAGGTGTAAGTTTTTATTAATTTAAAAAGAGAAATTGAAATAGGTATAAAAATTTGGCAACAAGAGTGAAATTTGAGGTATCATAACTAACAAAATATTGTAAAATACAGCTTGTAAGAAATTATGTTTATTTTTCAATTATTTTAATAATTAGTTCACTTACCATATATCTAAACAGTTAATTAAGCGAATTTGTTTTTTTCAAAATGACAAATGTACCTACAGTGACTTGCAAAAGTATTCACGCCATTGCAAAGTTTCCATACGTTGTTGCCGTCTCAGCTTGCAATCATGAAACTTTCAAATGAGACTTTATATTTAGAATCAACACAAGCTACTCCAAGCTAAGGAAGCTAAAAAAAGATGATATTATGTAAGTAAGTTAGATTTTCAACGAAAATTAGAATATCCTCAATTCCGTAAGTATTCAACCACTTTTCTACGGCAACACTAAATCAGTTTAGGTGCAAAAGATTAGTTTGAAAGGTCACAAAATCAGTGTAATGGTCTCTGTCTGTGTGTAATCAAAGTTTAACTTGACTTCAGAATGAATGCACCTGTTCAAGCCACAACTCACATAGTGATACGACAAACCAACCATGAAGACCAAGGAGTTTTCCATACAGGTCAGGGATAAAGTGGTAGAGAAGCACAGATCAGAAGAATGCTATAAGAAGAGTTCAAAGTCGCTGATTATCTCTTTGAGGATGGTGAAATTCATCATTAAGAAGTGGAATGAGCTTTATACCACCCAATCACTATCCAGATCAGGCCGCTCTTCCAAACTAAGCAGCCGAGCAAGAAGGAAACTGGTTAGAGATGTTACTGTGAAGCCAACAGTAAGTTTGAAAGATTTGAAAAGTGCCATATCTGATATCAGGCCGCCCTTCCAAACTAAGTAGCTGAGCAAGAAGGAAACTGGTTAGAGATGTTACTGTGAAGCCAACAGTAAGTTTGAAAGATTTGAAAAGTGCCATATCTGATATCAGGCCGCC